TGAAAATAAACAAAGGCAAAATATTACAGAATTAGTCAAAAAAGCGTATTACGCGTATTTTGGAATAAAACTTGGGGACAAGATAAATCATGGGCTCTGCACAATGTTTGCACCGTTTGTTTCGAAAAGTTGATGCAATAGAATAAAGGTAAGAAAAAGTCTCTGCCTTTTGGAATTCCAATGGTCTATCGTGAGCCTAGAAACCATGGAGATGACTGTTATTGTTGCTCATTTTTGCTACAACACTCGAAATAAAAAGGAAATTTCTTATCCAAACCTTCAATCTGCTATAAGACCTATTGCTCATGGACCTGATGTATCTGTACCTACTCCACCGGAGACTCTTGATACAGTTTTATCTGATTCTGAATCTGATGTTAATAGAAATGGTGATAGGGATTGTTTTAAACCTGAAACGTCTGGAAAGGTTTCATCAAGACATCGGGGAAATGGAGAGGAGGTATCAAGGAAGGTGGGACATTAGCATGATGGCTGATTACTGCTGGCCATTTAAACTAGATGCTCCAGACGCAATACATAAAAGAAAGACCACAAAACACAGTTTTGAAACTAAAAGACGTAGATTTCACAAAAAAAATCAGGATGAATGGGGATCCATATTCGTTTGACATCAATGTTCTTCCTTTCTCTTCAGTTTATTTGTATTTTTGTTAACAAACATAATAATAATAAATGTTCATTGTGGTAAACAAAATAATAATTTGATCTACATAAGAGTTTCTTTTTCTACCCGATTTGTAAAAAAATTGTTACGTGAGAAAAAAAATGTATATTAGTTTTGAAATCTGCTTCGCTGAATTATGGAAAATCCGTTATTAAAACCAAAACAACTCTTGTGAAGTTTAAATTCGCAGGCCTATGTTTTTATTCATAAAATTTTTTTTGCGTTTTTTTCTTGAAAGTTGGTTTTAATTTTTCTTGGAAAATTTTGAGGTTTTACATTAAAAATATTAAACATCCACATTTTTGCCAGGAAAAAATGGCAACCAAAGAATAAGGTCAGATCCTTAAAGTGCCAGGACTACATCTGAAAACCCCTTGATTTTTACATGGTCGATTCTATGTTAAAACCCCTTGATTTTTACATGGTCGATTCCATGTTAATACCCCTTGATTTTTACATGGTCGATTCT